TGAAGTATTGTTAAAAATACCAAATGTTTAAATTCTGGACATCTACAGGAATCAAAGATTTAGCATGAAGAACTCAGTTTTTTTATACTCTTCAGAGAGAGGTCTTTTCTTTATTATCTAACTTAATTAAGGTTTAATGACATTAGAACTGGTCATTGGACTCTTAATTCTAAATGTTCTCATGCAGCCATATTTGCATTTTACATGCTGACATATTTGCCAGTACATTAATTAAAAGAGCCTATGTAATACCATTCTTGTATCCCTGCGTTTGTGGGGATATATATGCAATAAACATTTGAATAATGGTTACTATTTTACTAGCCTTTATTGTAGATGGTCATTTGAGTAAACAAAATATTGTTTATCAAATTATAATGTAAGATCATAATCATTTTGAATTCCACATTTTAGGAAGGAAATAATATTTAATACAGAGAAAATATTTGATGAGGTGAAGAGCAGGGTTTTAGCAGGGTTTATTATCCTTCTTTCCCCCTCCCCACAAGGTATATGCCAGAATCAAGAAATGGCACTCCAAAGCCAGATATCCACTCAGTGACTCACAACGGGAGCAGTCGAGTCTGAGGTATAGTGATAGGTATTCAGTTAGCTCTTGGCACATGCCTCCAAGAATACAGGAATGGGAAGGAAAGAGAATTAGGACTTTCAAGGTGGCATAATGTTTGGGATTTTGGCTCATCTCTGTGGGTCGTTTTTTCCTACTCTTATCATTATTCCTGTTGTCTTCTAACTTTTCCGTCCTCCGAGCCTTCCTTAGCACCACTTCCTAGCCTAAGGTGTTATAAACAGTCCCATTCAAGTGTCTTTTCTGCCGCTGCGCTGCAGTTCTCACACTCCATTCTGCGAGCTGGTAGGCCCTCTCTACTTCATTCATAACAATTCTGAGTCACTCCGGTCTCTAATTCCTTGGGCAGGTTCTCTCCTGATCACCTTCCCACCTCTCAGTATGATGAAATATTTTTTCATAACTGTGTATTTTATTTACAGTGTTACTCTTCTGTTTGTACTCTCACAAACTCAAGAGTTTATCTTTGTCCTGTGTTTGCTGGTTGTCTTAACAGTCAAACTACATAGCTGTATTCATTCAAACCTATTAATGAATACTTTTGGCCTATAAACATTTTGTTTAATCACTAACTACTATAATCCCTTAAATATGTTAATTAAGTCTTTAGAGACTATTTATAAGTATTTCACCATCTTTCATTATCTTTCTCCTAATGATAGGTGATACGAGATTTGCCCTTTAAAAAATCTTTCAGCATACAACTATAAACAACTATAACTATGTCATAAAATATGTCATAAAATTGGCAATTTTCATATTTCAAGACTACTACATATATAAACTTTTTCATTATTTTCCAATGCCAAAAATCAGAAAAATGCATAAGACCATATTCAGAATGTGAAACCCTGTTTCTTTCTGGAATTGAGCATCCTGTATCAGTGCCCAATATTAGTGTGTAGTAATCTTATGGAATTAGCTTGAAAGTCATGCTATAGCTTTAGCCAATGGAATGAACTATGCATATTGAATTGTTTTGGTCCTTCATTGCTTTTTTCATTTGTCCAATTGTTTTAATTTTCTTTTCTGGTTGCCGATAACTTTTATGTTCATTTTGGAAAAAACAAAATAGAAAAAAAAAGAACATTTTTAAAAAGCATAATACCAACCAGAGAAAATTAAAACCACTTTACACTGTTCACAGTACATCCTTTAGATTTCTTGCTATATACATTTGTAATTCTTTTCCCAAGAACATAAACATCCGAAACATATTTTATTTTTCTTTACATTCCCTTTATTCCTCTAGTGCAGGTAGCTAATGAGTCATCTATGAATCTAGGTTTCCTGAACTACCCAGTTTAGCAAGAGATGTTTATTTCTATTTATATAAATTTCTTTTATTTTCTTTTCTGTTTGTGACACTATCACTCTGGGATTTGAATTTGCTTGTGTGCCCTAGTGGTAGAGTGCATCCATGTTTGGTATATGTGCCAGCCAAAGCTAAGCTGCAGATATCTGCTTTCTCTCGCCCTTTCTTCCATATCAAGAACATATTTTATGTAAATAATTATTATTTACAACAGCATTTTCAAAGGTACATTCTATTTTATTGATGAACATGACCTTTAAACATCCTCTACCACTGGACATTTCTGGGGGTTTTGCCATGCGTGTATATGTGTTTTACTATTACAATCAATTCTGCAATAAATATTATTCTTGCTAAATCTGTGATCATTACTGTTTTCCCTTAGGCTAAATCCTGAAAGTAATATTGATAGGCTAAAGGATAGGCATGTTTTTTAAATGCTTTTGATACATTTTGTCATTTTGCCTTTCAGAGATATATCTCTGATACTCCCACCAGCAACATTGGTAATTTACCTTGTTACCAGGCCCTTACAGATGTTCTCTTTTAAAGTAATAATATAATGATAGGGTCTGTGTTTTCTTAACCACTAAGTATTCCAAATGATCACCCATGTTTACAGATTCTTTACTACAAAGTATTCTATAAGTGAAGAGTGACAAGACTTTTAATATGTTGGTTGATAGCGTGTTTGCTTGCAGTATTGTTTGCTTATAGTTTAAGGTGATGGCCAAGTGAGGAAAGTAAAAAAAACCAATAGTGGTACCCTAGACTCAGTCACCCTCCCTTCCAAACATGGCACTGAAGAGCAGCTACTCAAACTCATCCTGATGATCTCTGTTTTAAGGAGATGAGAAGTAGGTCCATCTTACAAAACTTTTAATAACCCCTCTTGTAGATAATGCATTATCAAAGGTGTTAGATTGAAGAGAAGTGCATTTCTTTAAAACCAAATAGTCAGTAAAACATTTACCTATAAACTTATTTATCTTGTCAGTTAGTATTTTATTATATCCTGATTGATTTTGGCTAAGTTCTTTATGCCCTAATATCCAACCATGAGAATTAAAATGCAAAAGTCACAAGGTATAATTGTTGAGAGTCTATCTTTAACTTCCTTGGTATGTAGTAGGTGGTTCTTTTAGAAAAGTATGCTTGGGGTAAAAGTTCCTACAAAACAAGAGTACTAGTTATTGTGACTATGGAACATATATTATTTTGAAAGCCTTAGTCTTGACTGAACTTTGACTTTTCTAGACTATGCCATGCCTTTTCTGATGATAGCATACCATAAAATCATGTTGTATTTCTATGTTCATTTGCCCAAAACCCATGAAACAAGATATACTCTGGGAGCAGTGTTTCATCATTAAAGGGGACCTTATAGATATTCCAGTTCGACATGTTTAACTGATGCTTAATGGATGATGCTGGTGGTAGTGGTGGTGGAGATAATAATAAGAAGGAGGAAGAGAATAATTTTTGGAGCTCTTATGTGTCTCCTACTATGCTTAGTGCTTTATTTAAGTTTTCTCACTTATTAACTGAGGAAGTTTAGTTCCAGAAAGGGAAACAACTCTCATAAGATTAGTCAGTAAAGCCAAAATTCGTATCCAGATTTCCTGACTCCCAGTGTAGTCCACCCTGCATTTAGCCACATGACGCTGGCTATATGAAAACCATTTTAGACACTTGAATCTCAGAAGTCTTAAAATTTATAAAGATTATTTTTTGATGCTTTTAAGTATTTACATATGTATGTTGAAGGGCTTTAGCCTTATTTTATGTATTGCCTATATTCCCTAATTGCTGTCATTTCTATTTATTGAAAATTTATTTTAATCTTATTATGTCTATTCTTTAAAATAAGAAGCTACAGTGAAATATTCTCTTATAAATGAGGACCCTGAGGATCAAGTAGAAGCAATAAATTCTCTGAAGGAAGTCAGTTAAGTAGCAGTAAACCTGGGATTGAAGCCCCCATCTGTTTCCAAACTTTTTCTACTTTATTCTATAGTTGCTTATTGAAAAATAGCAAAATCAAACAAACTTGAAAATGATTAATTTGTGTCACCATAGAAGTATATACACTGTCTCCTTTCTTGCTATCTCTTGGTCTGTTTATGCTTCATTTCTTCTTGAAACTAATATGAATGATAAAATAGTACACTTTACTGTCTTTTTAAAAAATTCACACTAAGTCTTTTCCCTCTTAAATACTTGGAGAAAATGAACATAGGTTAATAAAACTAACATGTTAGGTATTCCCTGGCAGTCCAATGGTTAGGACTCCATGCCAGGCGTGCCCAAGTTTGATTCCTAATCCTTACCTTTTAGTAGATATTACTCTGGATAAAGGGAAAAAAGTGTTTAAAAATTATTGCCTTCTGACCATATTGTATAGAAAACTGCTAATGACTTTTCTTTCTTTCAAATGAATACAAGGGGAAAATTTTTCCTTCCTTTTTGGAATATAGACATATCAATAAATATGAAAATGTAAAGTGAAATAAATTATTTTTAATTCAAAACTAATGAAAACATCAATCCCTGTTAGAAAATTTAACAAGGTTTAGGAAAATCTTATTAATATAATGAGAAAATTAAACAGCCACGCAGCAGTAGATGCTGTCATTTTTGCCATTTTTTTGTAAAATTTCCCCAGTCATAGAATTTCTTTGATGGCTATAGTAAAGCGAATTAGAGAAAAATGGTTTGGAAACTTCTTTTTGTTTGTTTGTTTTCTGTTATATGACTGTCTTAAAGCATATTGTACACATAAGACAGCATATTCTCTTAAATGAGCCCACTTATTTTTCACAAATCTTTTTTTTCTCCCCACTGTGGCCATTGCAAACCAGTGTCTTCTTTGAAAGCAGAAATGAAAACATGTCTGATTTTGGATACTTATGTTAAGGTTGGCCCTGAATAATAAAACCCATTCAAGACCAGGGTGTTTGAAAAATTTTAAATCCTAAAAGCATGCCCCATTAATGATATAACTGAATTATACTCCAGATATTTCATCTAAAATACCCTTTTCTGTCTTTTCCTTTTTGCTCTTGCCATCACTTTTAACAATCCATGGGCCTACAGTGTCTTTACATCCAAAATGCAAAGCAGACAAATGGGCATCTCAGGGAAGAACATGACCAAAAGCACCAGCATCAGCGGAGACATGTGCTCGCTGGAGAAGAATGATGGCAGCCAGTCGGACACCGCAGTGGGTGCCTTGGGCACCAGCAGCAAAAAGCGACGCTCTAGCATTGGGGCCAAAATGGTAGCTATCGTTGGTCTTTCCCGGAAGAGCCGCAGTGCTTCTCAGCTCGGCCAAACAGGTAGGCATTTTTATGTACTGTTGACTTCCTAATTGAGTTGTAATTAAAACACATAATCTTTTCTCTTACTCATTCTGCCTCAGTAATGTGTGGATGATGACAAGTACCAGAAGGAAAGGGGCATTTTAAACTAGCGGACCTTTCTGAAAATATAACCATGACTTTGTTTTCAGCGATGAGCGGGCCTGCTTGGAAGTGAGCCTTGGTTCCTGCTCTTGACATTCGCTTCTCTTCTTTTCTCCTCAAGGAGGAGCTCGGCTGTGGTTCCCCTGACTTCAGTTTCTGGTCCTTTGCAAAGGTGCTCTGATCTGCGAGATGTTTGCTTTTCTTTAGGTTCCTCAAGTTGGAACCCACCAAGTTAATTTCCACTCCCAGCAAGTTACCATGATGAAGATGATATCACATATTTTATGTGAATAATATACTTCTCTTATTGCTGACAACCTAACTTCTTTTTCAGTTTGTAAGCAGCATTTACCAGTTGTATCAGTTTCCTCACTGCAGTTTTTACTTTCCCGGTTAAAACTTCAAGCAGCAATATTCTCCAGCTGCAGGGGTGGAGGAATTTTCTGCTGACGCGGAAGATATTCAAAGCTTTGCTATTTGAAAATTCAGTCTCTAAATCACATCTGCAAAAATAAATTAGATACCACACTCCTAACTCAGAAAAGCCACTGTTAGCAATTAAGAATTTATTTGTGAGTCAAAGCAATGTCTTTTTTCAAATGGGTGTTGATAATTAAACATTCAGTCCCTGGTATCTGGGAAATAATACCATATCTTCTACTTAACACACAAACAAAAGCATGTAATATGGTGTTTCTTTTACAGCAAATAAATTATAGGCAAATGGATTAAATCTCATTTATGTCTGAATACTGTGGTTTTGGTACAGAGAAGTCAGAGCATAAATCTACAACACAAAAGAATTTAAGGGTATGTTAGTTCCTGGACCCGCCTAATCTTATTTTTACAAACTATACCAGTGATTCTGCAAATTTGAGCCTTATATAATAATATTATATTGAAATAAGACTTCGATGGCTTTCCTATATCCTGGTTGTAACTTACTATATTTACTGTGATTATGTTAGAGGTTTTTTTTTTTAATGTTTAATTTTTAATTTATGTTTAATATTAATTTAGAGTTTAATTTTTTACTTAGTGTTTTTAAATGTTATTTTGTGTTTTAATATAGAATTAGGGATTTAATGTATGGACATAGAGAACATATCTAAATGATTTTTTTAATTGCTAATATTTATACATACATATTTGTGTTGTCCTAAAATGATAGATGTTGGCTTTTTGAAGTTGAGAGGTTTTTTTTCTCTAGCAGTTAGAACTTTATTGCATTTTTCTATTTAAAACTTACATTTGTAAACCTAAAACTGCTCTAAAAATAAAGTCTATTAATTTTTTTAAATGAAGAACCTAAAATAGACACTAATAAGACTACAAGTTAGAGAATATGTGGTGTTAAACTAAATAATTAATTCTGTTCATTTGGGGGTTTTGGATAAATATTGAACACTTGTTGTGTGCCAGGAAAATCGAGAACACAAATGAGTCAGAAATCATTTATAACCTGAGTTGCTTATACTCTAGTAGAAGATATATACTTAAACAGATTACTTCAAGATCCTATGTCAGGGACTTCCCTGTGGCCCAGTGGTTAAGACTGTCTTCCCTTACAGAATGTGCAGTGTTGATCCCTGGTCAAGGAACTAAGATCCCACATGCCTTGAGGCCAGTCAGCCGCACAATTTAGTGATGGGTTTGATGTGGGGAGGTGAAGGAGAGAAGATTCTAAGGTGATCCTCATGTTCTGGCTTGCATCCATGGATGAATGGTTGTCGTGCTATTAATGGATATTGGAAGCATAAAAGGAGTAGATTGGGGAAAGAAGGGTGAGTCCTTCAGTTTAGGACACTTTGAATCTGAGATATCTATGTAATATCCAAGTAGAAATGTCTAGAACATATTTAAATACACACTTCTAAGGCTCATGTCAGAACCAGAGATATAAATCTGGGAGTCATAAATTTTAGAGGTTGCTTGAAACCACGAACATGGGTGAGATTGCCCAAAAAGAACACCACAGATAAAAGAGCAGTAGATTAAAAAAAAAAAAAGAGCAGTAGATGAAGACAATACTTTGTGGAAGATTAACCTTTTAGAATTGGACTGAGGAGGAGGAGCCAGTGAAGACCAAGGAGATGTTATCGTGAAGAAAGAACAAATACTATGAGAGCAGTGTCACAGTAACTAAGAATGTAGAAGATTTGAAGAAGAAAATGGTCAGTATTTCTCAATGATCAATTTCATTCTTAGTAGTTTTGGCATTAATATCCTATATATCTTTCCTTGACAGTATTTTTATTTAATGATAGAGCTCTGCTGACCATACACTGATTTGGTTTTTATCTTCAGAAACACTGTGATATTGGCAGATTTTAAAAATGTAGTTTTTCCTTGTTATAGCCTTCTTACATATATAGCATAGCAAAAAATAATGTGTTTCTTTTTGTTATTGTCTTCATTGGTATTCAGTGACATAATGGTTAAAATTTTTAGCGTCTTAAAATGTGTAATTATTCCTGTTTACACACTGCATAGCTTTGACCTGTATTGACAATAGAATTCAGAGTATCTCTCACTTTAAAGCCCAAGTTTAACTGTAGAATAGCCAACAGAGATAGTTTCATAATTATTGAACTCCAAATTTTCAATGGGTTTCTAAATTCTGTATTTATGTGTATCTGTTTCAAGTAAGATTTTGTATTTTCTTTTCTTTAAAAATGCAGTAGTAAGCTCTAACAGTATTTAAAACTGAAATCTTCAAATTTATTATCTAAACTTTGATCATATGATAGCATTATCTAAAACATGGATGGATTTGTGATGCTGGATCTTACGTTAGATCCTTTGATTTTCCTGGCCTCTGCGTAGAAATCTGCATGTACTTAAGTTGTAGAGTTATCACTTAATGAATGATAAATTATACATAATGTCTTCAGCTTCTTAAAATGATATTTATGATCATAAAAGTAAATATCATTTTACCAGTATGAATTTTCAAGACCAGATGAAGACTGCTTGCTTGACTTCTGAAGGGTAGAAAGCTCAGCAAAATAGTATCTTTCTAAAGAAATTATTCTGAATTATATCAGTAATCATACATAACTAATAATTGGTGAAGGGGAAACCATTTATAAAGATATGTTGGTTAATACACATAGTAGCTAAGTCATATCTCTCTTCTATCCCCATGCTATTTTGTATCTTTGACTGCTAAATGGAAACTCGCCATTTTTAAAGCTTAAATATATCTTGTTAAACATCACAACCTTGTAGAAAGTGCATGGAGTGAATAAAGAGACTTGGATGCTATTGCTTACCCTGGGTTATATAAGATATCAAATATGGCCTCTTAAAAAAACCTACCCAACATATCTGAGTCATGGAATGTTCATCTGACATATGGAATTAACACCTGCTGTCCTAACAGGGTTTTTATAAGATCATACTTTAAATGTATAAGAAAATGCTTTCAGCACTTAAAAATCACTTTGCAGATGTAAGCTATCAGTAGCAAATTCAGCCTCATATGGGGAATCAGGAATTCTATTTTAGACATGTTGATTTTGAGATGCCCATTAAACATCTAAGTACAGTTATATGTTTAATTAGATATGCAACTGTAGCCTAGTAGGTCAAGCTAAACATGTAATTTGGGAGTAATCAGCAGGTAATATTTAAAGCTGTGGCACTAGATAATATTACTTAGTGTAATTTGAATCAAGAAGAAAACTATAATAAAAACAGAGCCATGTTATATACCAACATTTAGAAGTCAGGAAGAGACTCCATTAAAGGAAACTAAAGAGAGAGTAGCCATTAAAGAAAAAGAAAAAGAATATGGTATCTTAGAAACCAAAGGAAGGAAATATTTTAAGGAAGACAATCATCTCTGTCAAGTGCTTCTGGTAATTCAGATAAGGTGAAGATTGGGAGTTGACCATTGGATTTCACATGATGGAGGAATTTGGCAAACCTTGACAAACCTTGCAGTGGTGGACAGAGCCTGACTGAAGCAGCTTAACAAAAATGGGAGATGAGGTAGAGACTGTGAGAATAATTTCAAGAATAAAAGTTACAACACGTGGACGTCCCTGACCTGCCAGTGGGTTCGGGAGGATTCCACGTGTCGCCAGGCAACCGCGCCGGTGAGCAGCAACTGCGGAGCCCTTGCTCCACAGTAAGAGAAGCACCTCAGTGGGGGCCCACGCGCCTCAGCAAAGAGCAGGCCCTGCTCTCGGCAGCCAGAGGAAGCCGGCACGCAGCGACGGAGACCTAGTGCAGCCAAAAGTAAAGTGAGTGAATAGAATCAATTAAAAATAAACACATGTGGCTGATCCTTTAAAACAATTTTTAACACCTGTATTGAAGCTGAAACGCCAATACTTTGGCCACCTGATGTGGAGAGCTGACTTATTTGAAAAGCCCCTGATGCTGGGAGGGATTGGGGACAGGAGGAGAAGGGGACGACAGAGGATGAGATGGCTGGATGGCATCACCGACTCGACGGACATGAGTTTGAGTGAACTCCAGGAGTTGGTGATAGACAGGAGGCCTGGCGTGCTGCGGTTCATGGGGTCACAAAGAGTCGGACACGACTCGGCGACTGAGCTGAACTGAACTGAATACTTATTATGGAGCACTTTCATGTGCTAGGCAGTCTTTTGGGGCACTTTACATGTAAATCATCTAAGTCTCACAGCAATGTTATGGAGAAAGAATTAATTACTATTATCCTCATTTTACAGATGAGGAAACTAATGTAGGCAAAAAGAGTAAGTTCCCCAAGTTTACTCAACTAGTGAGGGTCAAAGTTGGGATTGAAATGCAGGCAGTATATTCATTCTTCATTCTTAATTATTCTGTTATAGCCTAGACTAGCACTGTTCAATAGAACTGTTAGCATTGCTGGCAAGTTC